GAAAACAGGAAGAGATAGTTCATAAGACAAAAAAATTCTTATTTTTTGTCGTATTATCACCCGCTGTATTTACGGGAGGTCTTTCTGAAACACCTTGTAATTACCCATTTTTCCAAATTGCAAACACAGCACAACGACAATACAAATATTTTTCATATTTCCCATTTTCAATTTCATGTAATTTTCAACCGTATAATAATTTTATTATTCTTATAATGTTTTATTTTACCTGCTCTTACTTGTGGTAACACCTACCGGGAATATTTAGTTGCATTTGTATTCGTTTGCTACCTTATTATTTTTTCTTTTATATCCTCCAACACTTTATGTACAGTAATGAATTGTGGTTTAATAAAAAATATGATTTAAACCTATCTGAACAAAAAGTGAGAGTCGTGCTGCGAAATATTATAACCTTTTGTTACTTTGTTAGTGCGTATCACATATTCCATTTAAGCAACTGTAGACCATATAAAATAAGTTATGCATATGTAACGTAATAAAATTCTAGCAATTTTCACACGTTTCAGCAAGATTTTCATTCATCCTCCCATAAATTAATATTTCGTAAATTAGAACAACTTCAAAAAATGATGCCTATTTATTTTCAATTACCTCAGACTTTTGTTAGTTTAAACTGGCAATATTATATATTTTAGTCTTTACAAAGCAAATTCAATCCAATTTATTTTCCAAATTCATTCAAATAGTATTGATTAATCAGCGTTTTGAATTTTCGTCAACTTTGGTCATATATTAAAATGTCAATAAAGTCATTGTCTTACATCTAATAACCTATTTTCCTGCACAGTTCAGAACAGGATTTCACCATTAAGAAGTATCATAATGATATTAGTTGCTGATTAGATTTAGAAAACATGAAATAATTGTAATAAGCGAGGGAAAAATAAAAACTTTCACCTACATTTGCTGTTTTCTCTAACATAAAAATTTCAATTTGGAAAATGAGTACTGGGTACGTAATTGCAAACTTGCAGATTTTCTGAAACTAGCTAACTAATTAGATATATTATAAAGATACCACACTGATTATTGCCACATATAAGTTTCGTAAATTTGATCAAAATTAAAAAAACGCAGTCCAATTTATAAAGTGCAAATTGGTAATAGAAACTTGGTATTGCACATTATACGAGGTATCACTAAACTTAGTTGCATAGTTTTAGGAGGATGACAAATCAGAGCGATATCAAAACGTTTTTTTTTCTTAATTGCTTTTGTTATCCTCCAATATCTCGGAAACGTTTCGTTTCAATATGTATGTTAATTTCGTAGTTTCTGAAGCGATTCTTTGAAATATGATAAATCTTTTACGTTTTATCTGATGGCAAGTTTAGATCAAGTTTCGTTGAAATTACAGAAAAAAATGATTTGGTAAGTACCATTTTAGCATCTATCTATCTCGGAAAAAGAAGAAAATTTTGTAATTTGTTATGTACAGGATTTGCCAAAGAGAAGTCGAAGGAACAGTTAAAAGGAGGAGAATAGAAGTATATTTTATTTCAAAATGACAGCATAATTGAGGAGGTATAGCATCATCGTTACTTTTGTCAAATTCAATTTTGTCATAGTTTCATACATTTTTTTATATAAAATTCATAATACTGGAAAGCATAACCCCACTCATTTAATTTTTTCTTAGAAACAATGCAACATTTCGTGTCAAATTCGCGTAGGTCTATCGAACTAATTGCTACTTCTGGGCAATAATAAAGTTCATGTTAATAATTTTTTAAAATGGGTGAGGAAGAATGGTAAAATCTTTAGGGCAAAAATACAATAGACAGTAAAAAAGTATTGAATCCATATTCCATGTAAGATTGATGTAAATGGATGAATATAACACACATTTATGGATAGAATATGACCCAAAATTAAAGTTTATAAATTAAAAAATATTGATTCAGCAAATCGTCAGGTAGTAATCTTAACTAACATTGTTCAATGAGTTTCTCTTAACTATTTCGGACATTAATAAATTATATTCAGCCAAAATTTCAATTATTCATTATTAGGTATATTTAATTGCTTAAAAATACATATATTCTATTTTAATTTGTATAAGTGAAAGAGTTTTTTTTATAATTTTGTGAAATCTAGAATATCAATATCATCATTTTTATGTAAAATTCTTAATCAGAATAACTACATGGTTGCCCTAAAACTGATGCATTTGCGTCAACTTATATTTTTTTTTTCAAATTTTGGCATCCATTCTGTCTTTGAATAGACTGTATGGGAAATTAAAACCATAACAATGTTGTGAAGCAAAATTGTAATATCAAAAATAAACTGCATGAAATGCTTCTTTATAGGCGTGGAGAAAATTGTTAGATAATTGAGACGAAATCATCATGAGCTACTTAAATATTTTTACAATGTAGTCACGAATTACATTGTTCAGATATTAATGTAAATATAAAATGCAGTCAATTAGTGATCAAGCTGCAACAGTTAAATATTTCCAATTCATACGCTATAGTTTATGAATGATTTACTACTTTTTGGAAGGGGTAGCGCAAAGCTCGCATCGTGGGAGGAATCTAGAGTAAAAGTATTACTCCATTGCGATAAACACAATAGATTACCAAATATCGTGCACCGTATATAAACCAAATTAATTTTTGTCTCACAGTATCACAGTAAATCTCACAGTACGCGCTTCAACTAGGTATTGTGAAGTTTGTATTTCATATCAATTTTGAATAATAAGTGATTTTCCTTGGTGTTCTCAATTAATATACCTGTTGGATATTAACCAGGATAATGATACTAAATAAGGCAAGTGTCTCTAATTTCTTTTTAAGTTTATTTGTAATGGATACTAATATTTCCAACACAATTGGAAAGGGAATATTTTTTGTAAAATTGTCTATAGTTTCATCTAAACAATCTTATAAATATAGGTACCGTAAACAAATGCAATGCCTACTAGAAGTATTAAAATCAGTATCCTTGAAATTAAAGAAATAGAACAGTTTACATTAAAAGGACATTTACTATTTCATAACACCATTTTTTTATATTTGCAGTAGTGTTAAAAATATATCAACTATTGCCTACGTCTGTGTATTTTCTTCTTTTTTGTTATTAGTTTTAACTCGAATACTTAAATGGGTTTCAGTTTCTTTATGGAAATGTAGCAATACGTTCTTCGTAACCTGAAGAAATGTATAATTAACTAATAGAAAGGTATACATTTGATTCGGTATTAACGAAGAGTAGAAGACGTATAATTTGAAATAGAACAGGTAGAAAGTATGTTGTAGAAAATAAATATATTTTCAAATATATAAAGGTATCATATGCGTTTTAAAGTTGAGTTTGAATTACAAACAAAATAATAATTTTATAGAATAGTTTTAGTAGTACATATTTTTTCAAACAGAAATTTTCTATATATGCATATTTAATTTAAAAGTTAAGACTGGCGTTTTGAGGACAAGAAATCGCACTTTTAGTGAAAATGATAGAACAAGAAAATCGATCTAAAGCATAAAAATGTTGCTGTCAATAGTGGACATTTGCATTTGTCTGACTTGCTGACATACATTTCTGATTCGTTGTTTTAAATCTACTTCATTTTCTACTGTTGTTTAATTTTTTTGAACCAATAGAAATCATTTTAAAATAGAATATGAATAAAAAAAATTATAACTCGAAAATCGTTTATTGTTTGAAGAAAATGCAGGAGACCTTTTTTTAAATATGGTAGTAAATTAAAGTAAACACGTCTATTAATTTTTCTGAAAATCCAGTGGCGTAGTTTTCCTGAGGCTTTTAGTGATAAAGCTCCCTTGAATATTCGCCACTGGTTAACAGATTTATATAGAAATATATCGAATTATTACCTTTAATTAGTTACATCATTTCTCCAAGTTTCGTCAATCTACGCCAAACAACTTCAGAGATAAACATATCTCTAATTTGGAAACCAGTAACTTTAGAGCCATGGTTTATTAAGACTTTTGAGCCTAAAATGACCCAAAGAATCACCCCCATAATTTGTGTATAAAAAGCACTCTTTCTACATTCTAATAATAAAACTATCATGTTATTTCACTAGACTCTAATTCATTTTAGTCATTTTCTTCACACAGCGAGCGAGTAAAGTGTATGGCTATGTTTTGCTGTTCCAATACCAATTTTTTCATTAAAATATATCTTATTCGCTACAAATATTCCAAGAACTTTGCTATTTTGTAAAATAGTTATAAATTTATGGTGAAACTCATTTCAATATACCTATCGGGAAAAAAATATCCTCAGAATTCCGTACCTGTGTTTAGTATCTGATAATTTCTATTGCAATTCAAAGGAAAAATTGATTGGGAAGTATTCTTATATTATATTTATAGAGATATATTTTTCAAGAGAATTATGACAGGAAATATCTATTGGAAATATAGTTATCCACTTTAATTTTTTTAAAGATTTCAGTTTTTATTTTTATAAATTTAACAAAATTTTCTCATTCTTGCCTCATGTTAATATGCTCATATACCATGAAAACTAAACAACTGGAACTACTAAAGTGCTTTCATGTATCTCTGTGTTTTTAGAGCATACTAAAAGGAATATTAATAAGTATATTAATCCTACACAAATGAATTAATCGACTGTTTAATGTAATTAAACACAATTTACAAAAATGCATATCTAAATTAATTATCTGCACCGATGAAGTATTATATTTTCACTTTTATGAAGGTTCACAAACATTTATAGTTAATTATAGATTTGTCAAAGCTAAGGTTATACAGGTTCGGAAAGTACCGATGGTCCATCTGCCGTTACGTGAGAGCGATAAAGTAAAACATCGCACGGATTTCTATGACTTAGTTTATCGCTCCCACGTAACGGCAGATGGACCATCGGTACTTTCCGACCCTGTAGGTATATGCAGGTATATGTAGGTATACGGACTTTGACGAGATGTTGACAGAAATATCCTTGGCTTTCAGATAACCTTTACATTAATGTGTGCTTGCGTGTCTGTCATCAATAGCGAACCTCACAGCAACGGTTACGGAACACCCCTAGCAGCTCCTATCAGTAACTATGGACCTCCTGGAGAAGGGGGATATAGTGGCCATAACGGTCATGACTATAATGGCGAGGTAAGTTCGTGGACTGTACAAAAAGTTCAGATATTAGTCATAGCTTTTATATTTCATGGATGTTTGATTTATTGTTTCTCTTTTTCTGTGGATCAGCTCCCCCGAGGCCAATTTTGACATATTGTGTTTCTCAAAGTCTGTTTATTTATTAAACAACTGTCTTCTTTCCAAAGTTCCAAAGTTCCAAAGTTTGCTAATCGGCATATCCCTTAATTCTCTCGTTTCTAAGAAATGTTTAGAGACAGCAACGAATCGAATTCTCCACTAACTTTATCAGTAATTTCTATTAGAAAATTGGACTGTAACTACAAATTCAAAAAGTTCTATGTGTGTTGAGAATGCATAAATACTACGCAATACGATTATATGTACCGTAAAATAGCCACCATTATTATCAGAAAAGTTTTGTAATGACCATGCAACTTCTGGTAAAGGAAATTTTACTTTAAGAAAAGGACCCTGTTCTATTAAGTTGAAAGTCCTACGAGTACATTCAATTTGCTTGATTTGCAGACTTCAATAAAATTTGTCAATGCCAGAACAATTTCCGATCTGGTGCCATCGCATCTTGAAGAAGGACAGCCTTTCTCAAGACGATCTGCAGAAATGGTCTACTCCAAGGTCTACATGCGAAAAGCATACATTAGACAAATGGGAAGTCACGTCAGTACCAGGTTAAACGAGCACAAGTGTCACTTGAACTACAACAACACAGAAAAACCAGCAGTTGGTGAAGAGCATATATAAATTTTGACCTATATGCTATAGAGAAGCAATAGAAACCAGAAGACTCTACTTTGGAAACAAAACACCTGCAAAAATCAATGACTATTAAGCCAGAGAACTTAGTTTCCAGTTTCAGTGTTTGTTCTTAATAGGAGAGAGATATGTCTTTTGAATCATTAAGAAGCCTAAAGCGACGACGGAAGTTGTTTAGCATTTTCTTCACTTCAGCTTGTCTTGATTTTGAGTCTCACTATTCTCGATGTTCTTCCTGTATCCATCTCCCCAAATCCTACTTAATGGCACTATAAACGATACCAAATCCTTTGATCATAGTAAAACCATTTCAGATTCCTTTTTTTGCATGTTCCTTCACGTTTTCAATTCCTTCGATGCCTTTATATTCTGCACCTAGTATAGCTTAACAGTGTCAGTATTTGCCAATTCATTTAAAGATTGTCAACAGTCCCAAACAAGTTTTGAACACTACTTGTTTGAGTCTAAGGTTTTTATTCTGACTATTGAATAATATGTAGATTGACTTAGTCAAAGAAACTAGTGCTATTTGTAATACTGCAGAAAAAACTCTCATTTTTCCATAGAGGCATCATCCAGCTCCTGTTCCTCTGTCATACGTATAATATAATTGTTTTTGCAATTTTATTTATAATTTAATGGTATTTTATCAGTTCACTAAATCATAAATTAATAAACAAAAATTCCACATTCTGTCCAATTTATTTCCGAAATAAAACCAGATCTGCAAATTTCAGCCTGTTTTCTGTTTAGCCCAAATCGTACGAATTCGGATACCAAGTGAAAGATGACTACACTGGGACTCACTACGACAGGAAAGAGTCCAGTGATGGCAATCAAGTAAGAGGTGAATATAGAGTCGCGTTGCCTGACGGTCGTACCCAAATTGTTACGTATTGGGCGGATTGGCAAAGTGGATTCCATGCGGATGTCAAATACGAAGGCAAAGCCCAGTATCCAGAGCAATATAACAAAGGAGGATACAACAACAACAATGGAGGATACAATGAGGGATATAGCAATGGAGGATATAGCAATGGTGTATCCAATGAATACGGTGCCCCTGGATTTGGTGGTGGTATGTATAACCTTTCAATGGGATAATGTTTGCTTTTTAACATAATCTAGTTGTAAACTACATATAATTTTGGGGTACTCAAAGAATTGCGTGTAGAAACATAAAACTAAAGTAAATGTTAAATTATCTCTCCATATCAAATGACATAATGAAAATATTTGTGTTTCCTGGTGACAATCATGGGACACAATTCTTATACATTATCTTTAGGAGTGATTCCTTCTTTGGTACGAGACCGTGGTGGTTTCGATCTGTTTGATTTTCTGAAAAAACTAACAGAATCTGTAGAGAAATGACAACAAAGCCATCAACCGTAGAAAAACAACTTTTTAACCTAACTTAAGACAAAAATTGTATGCATTAAAGTACCTTACAAAACAATGGTTGCATTTAAAATAATAATTGGTGTATTTTCAGGTTACAGTGCCAGTGCCTCCTCCCATTCCATTGCAATAAACAATTTGGCTAGTGACAACTCTGATTACACCTACAACAACGCCAACTCCTACAACAACGGTTACAGCAGTAAGTCGCAAACAAGCAACGGGTATGGCTCCATCTAGGGCATTAAAAAACAACTACAAATTTGGCTCAATGTCATTCAACTTGTCCACGTATCTCAATCGTTAATTATCTTTTGTATATATGACCTTCGTTGTAAGTACTGTTTATAGCCAGTGTTTTTTTGTATATCTTTTTTAATAAAACTTTCAATTATTTTTCTCTGTTTGATTCCTCAAATGTAAAGTCAGTGAGCAAGTTTTGCGGAATCAAGTGGTCAATGTATACAATTATTATTTCGCCCTACACGAAGATAAAACTTTTCTGTTTACCTTAATATCACATAATGTTTGTATTCACACAAGGTGTTCCTTTAAAAAAATCTCTGGTTTGGTATGCCTTTAGTAACACTCTTAATACAATTCAATACCATGAAACACTTAATGACTGCAACTTTGGTTCCTATTTACAATTTTTTTCTAAACTGAAAAACACGAAAGTCAGTGTGTTACAACTAACAATCTGCACGTATAAATAAATAGACAGAAAGTGTTACCTTTCCAAAAATAAAGAAATAAACATGTGGACAACAGATATAAAGAACAGTTGTATGTCTACAATTAGACTAAAAATGTTGGTAACATAAACCAGCAACTTATAGGTATGTGCCAAATTATTAGCTTTGGTGTTTTTTTTAAATGACTATAAAAATATTTTATGTAATTCTTTCAGTAGTTGATTGAAACATACTATTAAAGTAATCAAATTTTAATAGTACCTATGTTACATTTTTAAAAGTAGGTACACTACTATTTTTAGTTATTTCGTATTGCATTATAATAATAACTAATTAGTTCTGCCAAAGTTGTAATATATGATCTACATGACCTCAATATACTTTTCGTTTTAATAGAAGTTGAAATGTACCTTTAGGTATTCCGCAAATTATAACCCGAAATATACTTTTCCTTATGCAACCCACGGTTTTGCAATAATACTTCTCATTATAAACAAAATAGTTACCTGCAACTGTTTCACGTAATATCCGAACGAAGCGAAAGACTTCCCAGAGTAATTTTGTGCACTTAAGACAACAATGTATTGTTCTAGTTGCGAAAATAAAAACTGAATTGTATTAATCTTTTGCCTTACTAGGTTTTGGTGTTGTAACTAATTGCCGTTGTAATATTTGCTTATGAAAATTATCCATGAGGTCCTTTCCGACTGAAAATAGTCAGATTTCTAAATAGTTCGTAATTTTCGTAGCATATACGTGGAGCTTTTTTGTTTCGAAACTCATAGAATAAACATTATAAATTCTCGCAAAAAATTAATATTCTCATATCAATATTTCAAACAAAATTTTAAATGGATAAAGCAGAGAAGTAGAAAGGTACCAACATTTTTTTAGAACTTCTAGTATGTATTGCGATGTCCCAAAGATACAAATTTTCTAGCATAACTAAAAAAATGTATCCTCCTTGATATAACGCAAATTTTTAATAAAATCAAGACCAAAACAAAGTTTTGGCAGGCATATGAAACTAGTGGAGACTTGTTTGCCTTCGAAGAATTTAAAAACTTGCGAACTATAATTAAAAGTGAAATCAATATATCTTAATAATAGACGCGAACGCATTTATTAAGAATAATCCTAGTAAATTTTGAGCGTTTATTAATAATAAAAAAGGTTCTACAAATATATCCCTGTCTATATTATAATGGGCGCCATATTGATAATGCAACTGATATTATTGATGCATTCACAGATTTCTTCTCTAAATTTTATTTACTGTCATCTTCTAACCGCAATAATTCATATTCCAGCAATAACATTAATAATATCATACATATTCGCGACTTCAGTGAAACCGAAATTATTTCGGCTTTAAAAAGAATTAAACCCAAAATGACTACTGGTGCGGATGGTGTTCCCGCGTTTCTGATAAGAGACTGTGCTCAGATTTTTTCTCGTCCCTTCAAAAATTTATCCAACTTATGCCTAACTGAGTATCGGTTACCTGATTTGTGTAAGCGTGTGCAATTTTTAAAGAGGGTGATAAATTTAACATTACTAATTTTCGTCCTATATCCATTATATGTAATTTTTGTAAAGTTTTTGAAATATTACTTCATGACTATATATTTATTATAACATCTCTAATATGATAACACCCTGTCAGCATGGTTTTTTGAAAGGACGTTCTACTGTCACTAACTTGATCAGTGTTACGCAATTTATAGCCGATTCTATAGACTACAATTTACAAACTGATATCATATATACGGGCTTCAGCAAGGTGTTTGATAGGCTTGATCGCTCAATTTTACTCCAGAAGCTTGATATGTTTGGAGTATCAGGGGCCTTAATGAATTTCTTCAAATCTTATTTAGACAAGAGAAAACAGTATATGGTTTATAATTGGTATAAATCGATTGAGTATGTCGCTATATCAAGAGTTCCTCAAGGTTCCATTCTTGGACCTTTAATATTCATTATATTCATTAACGTTTAGTTAACAACTTAGATGTAAATTTTCTTCTTTATGCCGATGATGTGAAAATATACAGCTCAGTTCGCAACATTAATGACTGTATTCAGCTTCAACGAAACCTTCTTAATATAAAATCTTGGTGTAATAACAACAGACTAATGTTAAATACGGAAAAATGTAATGTCACGTTTAATTACAACATTGATAATGACGTTTTGTCAAGACCGAAAAGATTTCGAGACCTGGGCGTTTGTATTTGATGAAAAACTATCATTTAATAATCATATTGATACTGTTGTCTCCGAAGCTAATAGAGCATATGAATTTATAGTCCCCAACTGTCGTAATTTTTCAAGCTTAGATGTCATAATGCTTCCTTACTTTAGTTACGTTAGATCGAAAATTGAATATGACTCTTCCGTATGGTCTCCCCACAGTGGTGTCCACATTAATAAATTGGAATCGATTCAGCGTCAATTTTTTAAATTTTTAAATTTTCAATCTGATGGCTACTATTCTCATATCGGATATCCGCACGAGGACCTTTTTGGTAGACATTCCTTTATTAGCCTTGAAACTAGACGGAAATACTTTTCGCAGATCTTTCTTTTTAAAATTTTGCGTAATTTGGCTGACTGCCAGGAATTTATAACCAAATTATCATTTTCCATACCTAGACTTAGCTCTAGAGAAAACGGAACATTTTATTTACCAACTCCTCGTACTAATGTACTCAAACATTCACCACCTTATGAAATCTGCAACAACTGTAATAAAAATTCTGTAGATATCTTTAACTGCAGCCTTAATGACTTAAAAATACTTTATTTTTAATGTCTGGTAGTTTCAAATATGTAATTTTAATCTTCATTTAGGAGAAAAAATTTTTTTATGATGGTCTGTGTTTTTGTTTTGTTCCTTTTAATTTTGTTTGTAATTAATGTACTTCTTTTATTATTGTCTGTAAAATCCCCGTTCTATAATTGGGTAGTACCTATTGAACAGTGTATAAAATAAAATAAAATAAAATATCTTATTGTTCATATGTCCATGCAGGAGCAAGAGCAGGTCGTAATTGACGCAGCTCCTTGATCAACGGTTCCAGTTCATAGATGGCACATGTTCGATGAGTTAATGTATTAACGACACCTGTTTCTGAGCTGCGTGGTGACATGATTAGGTGTTCAGACTGTATTGGTCAGTTTTCTGTAAACGTTGTACCCTGAAGTGGTAGGATTCTTTCTTAACAAAGTTATTTAGAAACGGAAGATACCATTTTTTTCCGTTTCCATAGTAAAGCTAATATCCGAGTGTATTCCATTAATATGGTCCAGGAATCCTTTTGTATTGTCATCCCCATCGGGCAAGATAATAAATGTATTGTTAGCACTTCGGTTTTAAAACTTTTGATTCTAGAGCCTTCTCGAAGATATCCATATAGATATTTGCCAGAGCGATGGACCCATAGCTTCTGTTTTAGTTTGTTCATAAAACTGATCCCTAAGGGAGATGATTGATCTGGTTCACACTTATGAAATCTAAAGTCTCACTCTTCTTTTCTGCGACAAACCTTTTGATGAATTTCTCTATTGATCTTTTGTCAACGACTTTACGTCAAAACGAAACAGGAAATCATCTATTTTCTCTTGATTTATTTTATTTTATAAAATCGTCAGCGTTTTGACATGGTGTTTCATCTATCTCACTACATCTTTAATTTATTGTGATACGTAGTGTAAACCACTGCTGATTCAATTGCACCCATTATTAGTCGTAGTTGTAGTAGGTTCTCTATTTTGGAGATGTACTCTGTTAACAGTTGCTTTATCGACCGGAAATGCAGTGATTTTTTAATTCCCCTTCAGTTCTTTGATGGCTCGCCATTAACTTCTTTTCTGGACAGATTCGAACGTTTGGCAGTTCATAATGTGCGTGTTGCCTCAGGTATTAGCTGTTGTGTGATTTCCAGAGCGCTAACGATTTGAAATTGTCTTTACTGCCATAGCGGCCTTTATATTTTTGGTGGGCACATTTCTGGCGTCATCATCTAGTTGAGCAGAGGTTGCTGTCTTTATTTTCAGTAACATTGATCTCATATTTCTATTACTGTTCTGTTTCGCTCAAATCGTGTAAAACCAATTTTTAAACTTCTTTCATTTGAATTGTAATACCAAAACATTCCGCAGAAGTGATATTTAATTGTAACACTGGTAACAAAAAATTGGTATCTATAAAAACCATATATTGTTTTGAAGTTTTATTTAAAGAGAAACGTGGATCAAAGAATTGTGTGTTGCCTACATAAAAGCTTGATTTGTTGGCCAGTTGTACATACATACATAGGTACCACGTTTAAACTGTTCTATTCCTCTATTGAAGCTTATAAATGTACAGGGAGATTCAAGAAAGTAAGGACATGCATAAAAGTTATAAAAGTCTAAAAGTTTCTGTTGTCAAAAGTACTTCTACAGATCTCTATTATACATATGATCATAAGTGTTCCTAGAAATAAAAAATAAGTCACTGTACTTCTATAAAAAAATACATTTTTATTCTTAAAGTGTCTATCAATATTATATTACATTATAATACAATATCGAAGAATAAATACAAAGGAAATACTGTAGTATGTAATACTAAATTTATAAATTAAGCCTATTAGAAATCACTACAGGACATTTCATTCACTTACATAATATTCACAGAAATTACAAAAAAAAAGTAGAGAAGTTATAAACATCTATTCAGAATTTAAATTATTAGTTTGTTTTGTTGTGGCAGTGTTACATTTCAAGTTTATATACAGATTTTCAATGAGATTTTTTTAAAAAACATAAAAAATAATTTTAAATGAGAAATCATGTTTCATTGTACCAAAAGTTAATTGTGGAATTAAATCCACGTTTTAGAAAATTTGCCTAATTATTTACAAATATAAAAACAAAATTTTGAATTTTAGTACGTGTAGCCGCCTCCTGGTGCATACTGTTGTTTTATTTGGTTTGATGAACTAGGTAAGCTAGGAAGGTAGTCATGACTCGGTCTTCCCGGTGTTCCAGGTCGACCTGGTCCACCTGGTCCTCCAGGTCCGATTGGTCCTCCAGGTCCTTGAGGTCCTCCTGGCCCCCTAGGTCCACTAGGGCCTCCTGGCCCCCTAGGTCCACTAGGGCCTCCTGGTCCTCTTGGCCCACTAGGTCCTCCTGGTCCGCCTGGTCCAAAAGGTCCCCCAGGCCCACCGGGCCCGCCTGGTCCTCCTGTTGGTCCACTGGGTCCCCCTGGTCCTCTTGGTCCGCTAGGGCCGCCTGGTCCTCCAGGTCCACTAGGTCCGCCGGGTCCTCCAGGTCCACTAGGTCCCCCTGGCCCTCCTGGTCCGCTAGGGAACTGAGGTCCTGAAGGTCTTCCGCCTGGATATCCTACACTACTGGTACCTTCTCCCTGATAATTTGGAATAGAGGGTTTTCCTTCGTAGCTGATCTGCAGATAAATATTCACTATTGGAGGTGATTTGACTTGTTAATGTTAAGAATGTGATATAAATATGGAGCATAGGCACACCTAAGGTGATCAGTTTCTTAAAAATCAATATAATATGTAATTTTAACCTTGGTAGCCAAATAGAAGTGATTAGAATATGTTTTGAAAATATTTGTGCAGATAAATTTTAATGGATTGAAGATTAGATATAGATTATCTGTAGTAAAGCGATTCGCATATAAATTGTAAAAATTGCAATTATATGTACATAAATTTTACAGATATAGAGAAAATGTTATAAACGCATTAGGTCAAGTTAGCTTTAATTTAGTCAAATTGTATATAAAATATATCTATTTTAATATTGCAAAATTATTTAAAATACCTTATTTCCGTTTAAATTACTGTACATTTATGTATTATATATACCTAGCGTCTATTTTTTTACAGGGTGTCCCGTAAGCACATGATCAAAACGGTATTTCGACTTTCTTTGGCTCAAAAGGAGACGATCTGACTTAACTTCCATAAAGAAAAAATGTCTGGCTCTCCCGCTATAGATTGTCAATGTTCTTGAAAAAAACTATGTTTTTTGTAATATCTAGAGAATGTTACTATGGATTTTAATGAAACTTGCTGTGGACTTGTTCCTAACTCATGTTTTGATGAAGCAACCGCATCCATCCGCCTTGGGCAAGTGGTAAATTCTTGAGTGTCTTGGTACAAGAATTACCAGAATCTTTTATTTGGTGGCTGGAATCAATTCATTTTTTTATTGATGCATCAGTCCTTTTTCGAGATTTTCATGCTCTTGGTAAAATTTTGTAGCATTCATAGTTTTTTCAAGAACTTTGACAATCAATAGCAGAGGAGCCAGACATTTCTTCTTAATGGAAGTTAGGGCAGATCGTCTTCATTTGAGCCAAAGAATGTCTCAGTACCTGTTTCATCATGTGCTTATGGGACACCCTGTATATTAATCAAGTTGAACGAAAATCAGTTTACCGTTCGTAAATTCAATACCTGCGGAACAAATGTATTATTTTAGTTATAACCAAAATTTTTAGATAAATTATAGATAAATTCAGATACTCAAATTACAGAGCTTATGTTACTTCAAATGAAAGTACGTTTTATTTACTAAATTATAAAATGCAGACATAGTCGAATTGTAATACTTTCATGTTCAATTTGTAATAATGCTAATGATGATTAGCAACTTTTCTTTAATAATTCAGTTAAAAAAATTGTGTGCCGAAAAGACATTCCTTTAATATAAGTATATAAGAAATATAAAAATATATGTCCTTGATTGGAAACAATTTATTTACCTTTAAGCTAAACACGTTCCTATGACATTTTAGTTGCTAGCATTAATTAATAAACAGTATAAGAACCATCGTGATACCATCGCCGAGGAAATATACACACCTTGTGAAATACTATTTATCGGTTTACTATAATTATTTGGTTTGAGATCGACAATCAATATTTCGTTTTTCAGTTCATTCCTCAGTTAGTTTTGGTACATATTTAATTGTTCATATCTTAATTCAAATTTTACCTTTGCATGATATCCTGTAGCCCAATCGGCAGTGTATTTAACAACTTGCGTTCGTCCATCAGGTAAGAACACTCTATATTCTCCATTAGTTTGATCTCCATTGTTGATCGCATTATGAGAATAATCGTTTCCGTAATTCGGTTCCCTTACAGCATATTTGAATTCGAACGGATTACCTGGTTTATGTGGTAACAGAAGATGATCGTTCTAAAATTATAGAACCATAAAAACACACCGTTTTCATTTGCAATTATTGTGCACTTACTTCGCCGAAACTGGGTATTGCCATCCCTTCGCTTGGTATTCTGTCTGGTTGGAATGGTGGAGGAGTTCCTGGCCTAGGTGGTGTACCAGGTGGAGTAGGACGGCTAGGAATGCTAGGAGGATAACGTCCACCAGGTGTAGGTGGTCCATATGTTGGCCTGATGGTTTGACCTGTAACCGGGAAAGGAGGCGATGTAGGTCTAGAAGGTGGTGGACCAGTAGGTTGGAAGGGAGGAGAAGTAGGTCTTCCGGGTGGCCCGTAAGTTGGTGGAGGTGATCCGGAAGGGGGTAAGTAAGATGGCGGGCGAGAAGGTGGACCTGTTGGACGGAACGGAGGAGGAGATTGTCCTCCTGGAGGCCCGTAAGTCGGGGGTATTCCTGGTGGACGATATGGTGGAGATGTTGGTGGAGGTCCATAAGAGGGCGGTACACCTGGTGGACGATATGGGGGAGATGTTGGTGGTCCATATGTAGGTCTGGGAGGCTGAGAAGGTGGACGTGGCGGCTGAGTTCCTGGTACACTTGGTGGTCTATAAGGTGGTTGCGAAGGAGGTGGGCCGTAGGTAGGCTGAGAGGGTGGTAATCCAGGAGGCTTGTAAGGAGAAGACGGAGGTGGTCCATAAGTAGGCCTTGAAGGAGTAGGTCCACTGGGAGGTCTGAATGAAGGAGGCGGTTGAGACGACGGTACACCTGTCAAACCCGGAGGATTATATGGCGGAGAAGTAACCGGTGGACCATAAGTAGGAGGTTGAGATCCTGGTGGTCTAAAGGATGGTGATGTAGGAGGGCCATACGTAGGACGTGGAGGTTGACTTCCTGGTCTTTGAGGGGGAATGCTAGGAGTAGGTCTATAAGGAGGTTGTGACGGTGGTGGTCCATAAGAAGGCGGTACACTTGGTACACTTGGTGGTCGATAAGGGGGTGAAGTGGGTTGAGGTGGCTGCCCTGGAAAACTAGGTCTATACGGCGGTGACGTTGGGGGACCATAGCTGGGTCTTGGTGGTTGTGCAGGAGGTTGATAAGGAGCGGAAGGAGTTGGTATTCTGGGAGGAGGTTGCGACGGAAATCCTGGAGTTACAGGTGGACCATAAGTAGGCCTAATTGTTTGACCACTTGTGGGTGGGCCGTAAGTAGGACGAGGTGGTACAGGTCTTGGTGGTGGACTAGGTGAAGGGGGCCTGGGGGTTGGGTAAGATGGAGGACTCGATGGGAATGGTACAGGGGGTTTAGGATACTTGTAACCATCCTTTGGTGGAAGATATTCATTTTGTCCGGGAGCTATAGCAGCGCTAGCTATGGCCAAAATGCAGCAGAATGCTGCTGGAATCTGAAAAAAAAAAACAATTATATTTAACTTTTTTTTTAATTTATAAAATAATTGTATTATAAATTTCGTAATGGTAATTCTAGTTCTGCTGAACTCTACTTTTTCTGTTATTTAAACAAGACAAAATAATGATTATACATTTATTAAATTCAAAATATTCTGAAATTGTTTTTACATACAGTGAGTAGAAATAGAAAGTGATGTATACAAAATGTTTTTTTTATTTTTTAAAATTATTTGTAATCACAGTAAACAAAACATAAGTTTTACTAACAGTTATGTCGAGATTAATTTCTTTATTCTGTTATAAAAAATTGTGCCTTGCCTTATCGACAGATAAGAACAAATTAGCAAGGAAAACATTAAAATGGTAAGAATAAATAGCACTTAAAAAACGTGTATTTATTGCAATTCATGTTATTGAGCGACACTTAACACATTCTCAGTTTCTGTCACTTCTATATTATAAAAGAACATCTTCTTAATCATTACATTTCTAATTCATAAATATATGTAATTTATCTCTCTGTCTTTAGTTTTACTACTTTTGGTAATGGACAGTTTATTTTATGAATCTGTGACTAAAATAACCAGTACACAATTATTCAACCGTTTGCAGAATCACATTCTTTTAAAATAAACAACCTCTTATATGCATTTACCAGTAATTGCTTTAATCCCAAACTGTACGCAACTAGCCTACCTAGAAATACTCGATTGTTACCCAATGAAAAGCGAATGCAAAGTATTAGTGCGCAATTATTGCCTTCGCTATAAAGGAAGAACTATTTTCAGTATTTCTTCAACTCCTTATGTAATACAAACAAACGCGTGTGTTTGTAATTGTTAGTACATGATAATATTTTTCCTTGTATAGGAAATAGCGATTTTCATTTCGTTATAATCCGATTGCAGTAATGACATAGGCATCTCTGGGTAAAATGCATGGACTTTTATTTCAATAATCTGTTAAACTATAGAATAACGCTTAAGTAAATTGCACATAGTTAGGATTATGAGATAATTATAATCGGCAACAACATTAAGCTAGTGTTGACTTAGCGTGGGGTATGATAATGGTCTCTAGATATAATTACGTTTTCCTAATTTTCACAAAAGTTCACGTTCATTAAGGTCAGCTATCTTACGTAAAACTTTGTAGGAACGGTTTTAAAAACCAATATATCTTTGTTTCCTTTCGAGTTTAGAAATTCAGGTGCTGAAAGAATGTCAAAGAAATAACAATTTTTTTTCCTAAGGATCATGGGCCATAGGCCATGGGATCATGCGGATTTTTAAATCATATTTTGGCCATATATTTTCCAAAAAACAAATAAAATAAAATTTAGCACCGAAATGATTTCCGCTCAAAAACTATAGAACGTTGAACCTGTATTAATAAACTTTGTTTCCACATAGACAACAGGAATTTGTGAAATAATATCAGTACGTAAATGATAGCTACGGCTAACAATCTTAAGATATTTACAAAACTTATAACTGATTATTAGCGCTCAATAACAGTGAACGAGCGATGTTGAACTTTTGTGTTAAGGCAACTAAATGTCAAGATATGAACTTATAATAATCGTGGTGAAATAGAATAGTATTCCATAAAACTGAACCGATAAGGTGCACTGGTGTAATGCAGCGGGTGTGGTTGACGCATATCCTTAACATTTAATTTATATTACCAGTCACTGTAGGGTATTCATGATCATTATGTAAAGCAAGAGCATCACTCCTTGCTTTAAGAACAAAAAGTTGAAATAAAAACTCAGAAACGTGCTTTGCTGGTCTTCTCCAATAGTTCATAGTAACGGTGCAATATTTCCTCTGTTAAAAATGGGGTTATTGAAAAACAAGTTCCGCTCCAAGTGGGCTTTTTAGGTTGCCATTAGTAGGTAATACCACCAAAAATTTTTTTCGGCTAATAAAATGCTGTCGAGACTTTATTTTTTCAATCTAAGTCGTATAAAAAGATATACAAATACTTTTCAAATATGTACAGAAACAGTAAATGACTAATAGAGCGGAATATATATCTTTTCCGATTAAATTGCAATGTAAACCACCAGAACCAAAACAAATAATTAAATACGAATAATTTAAAAAGTACTGAGAAAAATGGCCTATATGTGGGCTCATTGGAGAGCTTTTTATGAGGCTTTTTCGAAATTTATATAAAAATGACCTTTTGCGCAAACTACATTGTATATCTGTATAATAAAATTACTATCTGACCTTTTATCGAAACTAGTTGTTGCGCGCTCAATATAATATGATTAAACACAATTAATGGCAATAATTGCAGTATCTTATTAACCTTCCTAAGGTCTTAGAACCGAATATAGTTGACTGACAGTTAATAAAGTTATCAAGTCATTCATATAATTTTGCTTTAAGCTATTTATTAAACTTGTCCAGGCAGCAAAGGTTAATTCTTTCTTACATTGAACAAATATCTTCAGAACGCTGACATTAAATACCGTCAATTCTATTTATGGTTCCTAATTCAAGTTTATTGTTGGGTGGGTTACGTAACTGTTTAATAAAAATTGACAGTCTGTCAAGAAATAAATAATTTTGTTTAATAACAATAACTTACTGTGTAGTGGTGTGTAGTACCTTAATATATTTGATATTTGTATATCCGATATATTTTTTTAAAGAATTCACAATAAACAGCGCACTATTAAAAAACCATTAACTTTATTACAGACTATAGCTGAAATTGTATTATGAAAATTATTGTAATTAAATAAATTAATATTCATTGATTTAGGAATTTGTTACAAAATATGAAAAATGTTAAGTAAAAGCTTCTTTTGCAAATCAATTGCAACAAACTGCCATAGTAATGGAACTATATTTAAGAACTTGTCATTGTAAATATTCATTATAATACGATTCGCGACCACTTTAAACTGTCTTAAATATCCTCCAATAAACTCTTACTAGGATTTGATTGTGCAACTATGGACGTATACCATATACCTCCAAAGAAATACACAACTTGCTAGTTTTCCGTTTGTTTTATACTTTGTATATGTACCCTGTACATAAGCTACACCTATGTGATAGGTTAAAACAACTTAGATTTAATTTATCTGAAACCGAAAATTTGCTTATCTCTACCGAAATCTGTACGGTATCCTAAGAGTAACATTACCACATTTCAGAATAACATCACGATTTTCGACTACACGATGACTTTCTATTGTTCGCTTATTTGGAACATCTCTAATCGGTAGGTTAAATCTGTGGATTTGATCAGAAAACTATTTTGAAATTTCATGTTGAATGATCATAGACGATATTCGCACAATTATTGCCCATCCACAAGTTTTGTCCCATAGGTATGGTGTAACTATATAATATTCACAGAACCAGTTATTATTACATCTTATTTATTATTTGTATTGAATTTTTATCTCTAAAAGAATACAACACCAATTTAATTATATTATGTACGTATTTTCTGTAATACTACTTTTTGTAAGAGGTTATGGAAAATACGAAACTGTAAAACGTTCTTAATACCATCATGACATTATTATTTATGTGACATTAATGTTGCTTACTAAATTATTACATGAAAGGAACTGAAAAACTTATATTTCATTTAATAGTCGCAATTAACTGTATCCTATACATAGTTACAATATTTTTTAATGATGTTACACAACGTTTATATGGTATTTATATCTAAATTAATGTATATAATCCCAGTACTAAGTATTTGACAAAAGTCTCACCTTAACAGCACAATGATGCTGAATGAAACTAATCTCCACATTCCAACTAAAGGAAATATTAGTTATCGTACTACGACATCATGGATAATATAGAACGCCTCATAGATGAATTTATTTATTTGTTTATACAAATACTATGGCATGTATTTCAATAAATCATAAAGCAACTCTGATCCTGGAATAACCGTACAACTTCTATTCGACGCAGAAAGGACTAACCTACATAATGACAGTAAACTCACTCCGATCGAACGATGCCTGCGCCCAACGGTAGCGACCGAATATCTAGTGCTACACTATCAATTACTTAAACGTTTCCAAAGTTATAAACAAAAATTACATTAAGAATTTCGTATTATTATAACTTTACTATTGTTACATAGGAAAAAATCAATTCAAAGTATTTTGGCCTTGGGAAAGTTATTAGGAAATTAATATTCTGACCCGATCTTAATCAGTAATTCACCGATTAAACTAATAACATTTCAGTGATCTTCAAATTTAATCAGATAAGGAACAGAATTTCACCTTGTTAAATTCGTATCGTTATTGAATCATTTTTATCATCAATATATTTCGCTGTCTGGATTCAAATAAAGTCATTACATTGAAATATTTCGCGTTAGAAAAGTTCAGAATAATTTAGAACCGGTTAAATTATCATTTGAGAATAATACTATTTCGGGTTTTAAATTTGTGGGAACATAGCATTTGCAATTTTTTTAAATTAAACAAGATAGATGTCAAGGTTTGGATAATCCAAATAAATATGAATACTGTATTCTCTATCTTAGTCTTATTATACCGAGTTCTTGTTTTTTTTTTGGTGGAGTATATTTGCTACTTGATATAATATTTAATAAAAGATTCAGATTATGTTATTTATGGTATGCGTAGTAGTAATTTGATTAAAACAGGTATAATAAATAATCAGTTGTGAAAAATTTTAAAGTTTACAATATAAATTTAAAAAGTAATTGTTACTATGACGACATCTCGCAAAAACTGTGCAAGACAACCTTGCCATTACCTTCTAAGTAGGAGTACAAATTATCTTTTTGCATTCATTAATATTTTGAAATTCAAAATACTAATTTATTAGTATTTTGAGAGACCTGAAAAGGTTAATGTCCAAAAAATATTCGAACGGCTGTTCTGTAAATCACCGAATATGAATTTTTATTGCCAATTTTCTGCTATTTGATAAATTAAAGAGATAACTGGAACATATATATTTTTTAA